ATATTGAAATTACAGCTCACTAAATACTTTTTTACTATATTTAGTTATCTATTCATTAAAAAAATTATTTCAAATTTTTCTAAATTTGAATAAATCACACCTATAAATAAATTATGATCAGAATAAATATAGAAAAATAATGAATAAAGATAAAGAAGATAATAAATTTGGATCATAAAAAAATCATTCAGAAATTTTCTAATGGTAAATACTTTATTCATTCTTCTTGAAAAAAACTCAATCTATTCACTAAAATATTTACTGATAAATACTTATTTTTATATAAAAAATAATCCTATTTAATTTCTTATTAAAATCTGTTCTCTACAATAATTAAATAGATTAAAAATAAAATAATTAATTTTGTTTCCAAATTAAAAAACAAACATCAAAATTATAGTTGCTTAATCTTAGCAGTAATATTAAATGTAGCAAGAATAAGATTCAGAACCATTAAAAAAGCTTTAAAAACTAGCATAACAATTAGAGTAAAATAAATAGCTTAGAGTTATAGATTTGGATGGATAAAAGGGATCATTTGACAAAATTATCATAGCAGAGAATCTAATTTCTAAATCTCAATAGGCAATCAAAATAATTTCCATTTTCGATGGTATAGATTAAGTATCTCAAAAAAAACTCTAGGATGCTAAAAAAGAAGCTTTATTTTTGAAAAATACAAACCACCAAAACATAGTCAAATATTGCGATGAGTTTTAAATTGGCTTTAACTACTTTATTGTTATGGAAAAGTGTGAAAAAAATCTTTAGCAATTCATTGAAGACTTCAAAAGCCAAGAAACCGAAATCCCAAAACACATCATAGTCAACTTTGCTTGTCAGATACTATCTGTGATCAACTATCTTCGCTAGTAAAACCTAGTGCTTAGAGATCTCTCCTTAAGAAATATCTTAATAGACAATCACAATCAAATTAAACTATACGATGTAGGTCTAGTCAAATAAGTGTAGGAAGAGTTCACCTTTTCTTTGATTCTCACAACATTTCCCAAAAGATCTCTGTTTTATTATCCTCCGGAATTATTTGAATAATTTGAAATGAGTGGAGAACAGAATAAAAAGGATCAATTTAAAAATTTATTAGATGGAGATATTTGGGCATTTGGAATATGTTTGTATGCTCTAGCGGGAGCCTCTTAATAAGAATTTTCATCACTTAAATCAAAAGGATACCAAAAATTGACTTCTCTTGATAAGTCTTTGAATTCAATCCTTTCATAGATTCTTTCTTTAGATCCAAACTAAAGGCCTAGTATTTTGTAACTTATTGATACTTTTGAAGATATGAGGAAGTAAATATGGACCTCTGATGATTCAGCAGATCTTTTTCAGCGTTTTTTGCAGAAAAAGAAGGCTCATTAGTGGTATTTGGCATATCAATTTATTAGTATTTGTTGTCAAATATAACAAAATAACGAAACTTATTGGCATTATTTAGGATATACATAAAATGAATTAAATTTTTTTAGTGAGTCTATCAAATCATATTAGAAGTGCCTAGAGATTAATCCTAAGAAAGATATTTGCTTTATGAATTTAGCAATAGCTTATAAGGAGAAAGGTATGATAGATGAGGCCATCAAATCCTATAAGAAATGCCTCGAGATCAACCCTAAAGAAGATAGTTGCTATTATAATTTAGGAATAGCTTACAAAGATAAGGGCATGCTTGATGAGGCCATCAAAGCATACTAGAAATGCCTTGAGATCAACCCTAAAAAAGAAATTTGTTTTTATAATTTAGGGATAGCTTATAAGGCGAAAGGCTTAATTGATGAGGCTATCTAATCATATTAGAAATGCCTCGAGATTAATCCTGAAAAAGATACTTGCCTACATAATTTAGGAATAGCTTATAAGGCGAAAGGATTACTAGATGAGGCAATCAAATCATATTAGAAATGTATTGAAATTAATCCTAAAAAAGATATTTACTACATGAATTTAGGACTAGCTTATATGGAAAAAGGCATGCTAAATGAGGCAATCAAATAATATTAGAAATGCATTGAGATCAATCCTAAAGAGGATAGTTGCTATTTTAATTTAGGAATAGCTTATGAAAATAAAGGTATGTCTGGTGAGGCTATAAAATCTTATTAAAAATGCGTTGAGATCAATCCTTAACACGATAGCTGCTTATATAATTTAGGAATAGCTTACAAAGCGAAAGGCATGTTGGATGAAGCAATAAAATCATATTAGAAATGCCTAGAGATCAATCCTAAAAAAGATATTTGCTTGTATAATTTAGGAATAGCATATAAGGCTAAAGGTGTGTACGATGAGGCTATTAAATCATATTATAAATGCCTTGAAATCAATCCTAAACATGATAATTGTCATATGAATTTAGGACTAACTTATTATGATAAAGGCATGCTGGATGATGCCATCAAATCATATCAGAAATGTCTCAAGATCAATCCAAAACATGACATTTGCTATATGAATTTAGGAATAGCTTATAAGGGAAAAGGCATGCTGGAAGAGGCAATCTAATTTTATTAGAAATGTTTAGAGATCAATCCTAAAAAAGATAGTTGCTATTACAACCTAGGTATAGCTTATAAAGCGAAAGGCATGATGGATAAGGCCATTTAATCATATAAGAAATGCCTATCACTGAACCCAAATCATAAAAATTGCTTGAAGAACTTAGAAATAGCTTAAGGAAAAAAAAATGATAGAAAAATAATAGAAATTAAGTAAGAAAAATAAATGTTTAATTAGAATGAATGTGCTTAAAGAAATTAGATATAGAGAGATAATAATTTATCAAAAATATTTTAATTAAATGATCAATTTTTTTATGTTTCTTTATTAATTAAATAAAGCCAGCCATTCCTGGTTTTAAATTGAATATATGTAATCAGTGGAATTTGTAAAAATATTAATATATAAATGAATAAATCGCTGTCTAAGTTTTTTTCTTTATTTTTTTAAATCAGAATTTATCTAACAGATAGAATTAATATTCTAAAAAATGTAAATTTTATTTGTCTTTTTCTATACTTACTATTTATTTGTATGTATTTTTAATTAACTTTTTTAATTGAAGAAAAAAAGAAAATAAATTGATTATTGTTTGTTTTTTTTTTATTTGATTAAAATCTTTCATTCATAAAAAATAAATACATAAAAAAAACAGAAAATTAATTAATTAAACGATTTGCATTTTTCTAGAATATTTAGAGAACATTTTTTTATATAAAATAAGATAAGCATTTTAAAATTTATAATACCACATTAATAAAAAATTACATAAATTCTTGATATGAAATAAGCTTATAAAAGCCAAATTCAACATTACGATTTTTAAATTGATTAATTTACTCTAAATATTATTGAATGAATAAATGATAATTTAAAAAACAATTATTTTATGATTTTAAAAAATATAAAATGAAAAAAATGATAATAAGATAAATTAAAAATTTGAGAAAAAAAAAACAAAAATAAACATGATAAACAAAAAAGTTAAAATAAAAAGTAAAATTTGATTTCTCACTGAGGTTTTATTTAAATCATGGCATCTAATTAATCAAGATAAATAAAAAAAAAGGATAAAAATATGATTGATGGATAATATTTAAGATTAAAATATAACTGGCATATAAAGTTTAGCATCTATATAATTTAATAAGATGTAATATAACACTAAAAATTTCAAATTGTTTGATCGTTTTTGGAGAAACAAAAAAGTTTGCTTAAGAGCATTTAATTTTTAATTTTTTATAAATAATTTATTTACTTACAAAAATATGAATGATATTTAAAAATATAAAATCAATAATAAAATCTATTTATATTTATATTTTAGGTTTAAATTTTTTTCAAAATATTATATAATACTATTCAAACATTTTATATTTATTCATCCTTTTTTCAATACTTGTTTATCATAAGAAATTAAAGATAACTAATCTTTTTGATTTACAACACTTGCTTTTTACTTTGAATTTTTATGATATATTCATTGAGTTTTAACTTTTATAATAAATTTGTGTAAATTATTAATAAATATCAAAATAGAATAAACTTTTAAATTAAAAATTATTCTTTAAATTAATAAATAAAATAATATTAGTTGAATAAAAAAGATAAAAAAATAAAATAAATAAAAGCTATAAAATAAATTCAATGAGCTTTTTTGTTTTATTTTCATTTTTTTTTGTTTAAAATATCACAATCCTAAACAAATAAACTGTTTTTACCTAAGGCCAAGTGTCAAATACGAGAGATTAATGCAATTTGCTAAAGCAGAAACTAAGCCTGATGCACCTTCATCACCAATTTAATTTTCACTTTTTAAATATTGAAGAAAAAATATATTGTTAAAAAGTTAATTAGAAGGAAAAAATGAAGAAAAAATATGAAATAATAAGATTAATCAATTAATAATAAAAGCAAAATTTGAAAATAAAATGATGAGCTTAATTAACAAAGAAAGAACAAAAAAAAAGCAAGCAAAATAAAAAGAAAAAGAAAAAAGAGCTTTATTGTTTTTAATTAGTTTTTATAATTAAAAATATCACAATCCAAATCTAATAAACTGTTTTTACAGAAGGTAAAGTGTCAAATTTGAGAGATTAATGCAATTTGCTAAAGCTGAACCTAAGCCTGATACACCCATTGCACCAATTTTATTTCCACTTTTTAAATATTGAAGAAAAAATATATCATTAAATAGTTAATTAGAAGATTGTTTTTAATTAGTTTTTATAATTAAAAATATCACAATCCAAATCAAATAAACTGTTTTTACTGAAGGTCAAGTGTCAAATTGGAGAGATTAATGCAATTTGCTAAAGATGAACCTAAGCCTGATGCACCTTCATCACCAATTTAATTTTCACTTTTTAAATATTGAAGAAAAAATACATCATTAAATAGTTAATTAGAAGGAAAAAATGAAGAAAAAATATGAAATAATAAGATTAATCAATTAAAAATAAAAGCAAAATTTAAAAATAAAATAATGAGCTAAATTAACAAAGAAAGAACAAAAAAAAAGCAAGCACAATAAAAAATAAAAGAAAAAAGAGCTTTATTGTTTTTAATTAGTTTTTATAATTAAAAATATCACAATCCAAATCAAATAAACTGTTTTTACTGAAGGTAAAGTGTCAAATTTGAGAGATTAATGCAATTTGCTAAAGCAGAACCTAAGCCTGATGCACCCATTGCACCAATTTAATTTTCACTTTTTAAATATTGAAGAAAAAATATATCATTAAATAGTTAATTAGAAGGAAAAAATGAAGAAAAATACGAAATAATAAGATTAATTAATTAATAATAAAAGGAAAATTTGGAAATAAAATGATGAGCTAAATTAACAAAGAAAGAACAAAAAAAAGCAAGCACAATAAAAAGAAAAAGAAAAAAGAGCTTTATTGTTTTTAATTAGTTTTTATAATTAAAAATATCACAATCCAAATCAAATAAACTGTTTTTACTGAAGGTAAAGTGTCAAATTTGAGAGATTAATGCAATTTGCTAAAGCAGAAACTAAGCCTGATGCACCTTTATCACCAATTTTATTGTCACTTTTTAAATATTGAAGAAAAAATATATCATTATATAGTTAATTAGAAGGAAAAAATGAAGAAAAAATATGAAATAATAAGATTAATTAATTAATAATAAAAGCAAAATTTGAAAATAAAATGATGAGCTAAATAAGCAAAATAAAAAGAAAAAAGAGCTTTATTGTTTTTAATTCGTTTAAATAATAAAAAATATCACAATCTAAAACAAATAAACTGTTTTTACCGAAGGTAAAGTGTCAAATTTGAGAGATTAATGCAATTTTCTAAAGATGAACCTAAGCCTGATGCACCAATTGCACCAATTTTATTTCCACTTTTTAAATATTGAAGAAAAAATATATCATTAAATAGTTAATTAGAAGATTGTTTTTAATTAGTTTTTATAATTAAAAATATCACAATCCAAATCAAATAAACTGTTTTTACTGAAGGTCAAGTGTCAAATTGGAGAGATTAATGCAATTTGCTAAAGATGAACCTAAGCCTGATGCACCTTCATCACCAATTTAATTTTCACTTTTTAAATATTGAAGAAAAAATACATCATTAAATAGTTAATTAGAAGGAAAAAATGAAGAAAAAATATGAAATAATAAGATTAATCAATTAAAAATAAAAGCAAAATTTAAAAATAAAATAATGAGCTAAATTAACAAAGAAAGAACAAAAAAAAAGCAAGCACAATAAAAAATAAAAAGAAAAAAGAGCTTTATTGTTTTTAATTAGTTTTTATAATTAAAAATATCACAATCCAAATCAAATAAACTGTTTTTACCCAAGGTCAATTGTCAAATCCGAGAGATTAATGCAATTTGCTAAAGCAGAACCTAAGCCTGATGCACCTATTGCACCAATTTAATTTTTACTTTTTAAATATTGAAGAAAAAATATATCATTAAATAGTTAATTAGAAGGAAAAAATGAAGAAAAAATATGAAATAATAAGAAATAAATAATAAAAGAAAAAGTTGAAAATAAAATGATGAGCTAAATTAACAAAGAAAGAACAAAAAAAAAGCAAGTAAAAGAAAAAGAAAAAAGAGCTTTATTGTTTTTAATTAGTTTTTATAATTAAAAATATCACAATCCAAATCAAATAAACTGTTTTTACCTAAGGTAAATTGTCAAATCCGAGAGATTAATGCAATTTGCTAAAGCAGAAACTAAGCCTGATGCACCCATTGCACCAATTTTATTCCTACTTTTTAAATATTGAAGAAAAAATATATCATTAAATTGTTAAATAGAAGGTAAAAATGAAGAAAAAATATGAAATAATAAGATTAATTAATTAATAATAAAAGCAAAATTTGAAAATAAAATGATGAGCTAAATTAACAAAGAAAGAACAAAAAAAAAGCAAGTAAAAGAAAAAGAAAAAAGAGCTTTATTGTTTTTAATTAGTTTTTATAATTAAAAATATCACTATCCAAATCAAATAAACTGTTTTTACTAAAGGTCAAGTCTCAAATTTGAGAGATTAATGCAATTTGCTAAAGCAGAACCTAAGTCTGATGCACCTTCATCACCAATTTAATTGTTACTTATTAAATATTGAAGTAAAATTTATCATTAAATAGTTAATTAGAAAGAAAAAATGAAGAAAAAATATGAAATAATAAGATTAATTAATTAATAATAAAAGCAAAATTTGAAAATAAAATGATGAGCTAAATTAACAAAGAATGAACAAAAAAAAGCAAGCAAAGTAAAAAGAAAAAAGAGCTTTATTGTTTTTAATTAGTTTAAATAATAAAAAATATCACAATCTAAAACAAATAAACTGTTTTTACCGAAGGTAAAGTGTCAAATTTGAGAGATTAATGCAATTTTCTAAAGATGAACCTAAGCCTGATGCACCAATTGCACCAATTTTATTTCCACTTTTTAAATATTGAAGAAAAAATATATCATTAAATAGTTAATTAGAAGGAAAAAATGAAGAAAAAATATGAAATAATAAGATTAATCAATTAATAATAAAAGCAAAATTTGAAAATAAAATGATGAGCTAAATTAACAAAGAAAGAACAAAAAAAAAGCAAGTAAAAGAAAAAGAAAAAAGAGCTTTATTGTTTTTAATTAGTTTTTATAATTAAAAATATCACAATCTAAATCAAATAAACTGTTTTTACCCAAGGTCAATTGTCAAATCCGAGATATTAATGCAATTTGCTAAAGCAGAACCTAAGCCTGATGCACCCATTGCACCAATTTTATTCCTACTTTTTAAATATTGAAGAAAAAATATATCATTAAATTGTTAAATAGAAGGTAAAAATGAAGAAAAAATATGAAATAATAAGATTAATTAATTAATAATAAAAGCAAAATTTGAAAATAAAATGATGAGCTAAATTAACAAAGAAAGAACAAAAAAAAAGCAAGTAAAAGAAAAAGAAAAAAGAGCTTTATTGTTTTTAATTAGTTTTTATAATTAAAAATATCACTATCCAAATCAAATAAACTGTTTTTACTAAAGGTCAAGTCTCAAATTTGAGAGATTAATGCAATTTGCTAAAGCAGAACCTAAGTCTGATGCACCTTCATCACCAATTTAATTGTTACTTATTAAATATTGAAGTAAAATTTATCATTAAATAGTTAATTAGAAAGAAAAAATGAAGAAAAAATATGAAATAATAAGATTAATTAATTAATAATAAAAGCAAAATTTGAAAATAAAATGATGAGCTAAATTAACAAAGAAAGAACAAAAAAAAAGCAAGAACAATAAAAAATAAAAGAAAAAAGAGCTTTATTGTTTTTAATTAGTTTTTATAATTAAAAATATCACAATCCAAATCAAATAAACTGTTTTTACCTAAGGCTAATTATCAAATCCGAGAGATTAATGCAATTTGCTAAAGCAGAACCTAAGCCTGATGTACCCATTGCACCAATTTTATTTCCACTTTTTAAATATTGAAGAAAAAATATATCATTAAATAGTTAATTAGAAGGAAAAAATGAAGAAAAAATATGAAATAATAAGATTAATTAATTAATAATAAAAGCAAAATTTGAAAATAAAATGATGAGCTAAATTAACAAAGAATGAACAAAAAAAATAAAGCACAATAAAAAAAAAAGAAAAAAGAGCTTTATTGTTTTCTATTAGTTTTTATAATAAAAAATATCACAATCTAAAACAAATAAACTGTTTTTACTAAAGGTCAATTATCAAATTTGAGAGATTAATGCAATTTGCTAACGCAGAAACTAAGCCTGATGCACCTTCATCACCAATTTAATTTTCACTTTTTAAATATTAAAGAAAAAATACATCATTAAATAGTTAATTAGAAGGAAAAAATGAAGAAAAATACGAAATAAAAAGATTAATTAATTAATAATATAAGCCAAATTTAAAAATAAAATGATGAGCTAAATTAAAAAAGAAAGAACAAAAAAAAGCAAGCACAATGAAAAGAAAAAGAAAAAAGAGCTTTATTGTTTTTAATTAGTTTTTATAATTAAAAATATCACAATCTAAATCAAATAAACTGTTTTTACCCAAGGTCAATTGTCAAATCCGAGAGATTAATGCAATTTGCTAAAGCAGAACCTAAGCCTGATGCACCTTCATCACCAATTTAATTTTCACTTTTTAAATATTGAAGAAAAAATATATCATTAAATAGTTAATTAGAAGGAAAAAATGAAGAAAAAATATGAAATAATAAGATTAATCAATTAATAATAAAAGCAAAATTTGAAAATAAAATGATGAGCTAAATTAACAAAGAAAAAACAAAAAAAAAGCAAGCACAATAAAAAGAAAAAGAAAAAAGAGCTTTATTGTTTTTAATTAGTTTTTATAATTAAAAATATCACAATCTAAATCAAATAAACTGTTTTTACCCAAGGTCAATTGTCAAATCCGAGAGATTAATGCAATTTGCTAAAGCAGAACCTAAGCCTGATGCACCTTCATCACCAATTTCATTTACTCTTTTTAAATATTGAAAAAAAAATATATCATTAAATAGTTAATTAGAAGGAAAAAATGAAGAAAAAATATGAAATAATAAGATTAATTAATTAATAATAAAAGCAAAATTTGAAAATAAAATGATGAGCTAAATTAACAAAGAAAGAACAAAAAAAAAGCAAGCACAATAAAAAGAAAAAGAAAAAGAAAAAGAAAAAGAAAAAAGAGCTTTATTGTTTTTAATTAGTTTTTATAATAAAAAATATCACAATCTAAAACAAATAAAGTGTTTTTACCTAAGGTCAAGTGTCAAATTTGAGAGATTAATGCAATTTGCTAAAGCAGAAACTAAGCCTGATGCACCTTCATCACCAATTTAATTTTCACTTTTTAAATATTGAAGAAAAAATATATCATTATATAGTTAATTAGAAGGAAAAAATGAAGAAAAAATATGAAATAATAAGATTTATTAATTAATAATAAAAGGAAAATTTGAAAATAAAATGATGAGCTAAATAAATTAACAAAGAAAGAACAAAAAAAAAGCAAGCACAATAAAAAGAAAAAGAAAAAAGAGCTTTATTGTTTTTAATTAGTTTTTATAATAAAAAATATCACAATCTAAAACAAATAAAGTGTTTTTACCTAAGGTCAAGTGTCAAATTCGAGAGATTAATACAATTTGCTAAAGCATAACCTAAGCCTGATGCACCTTCATCACCTATTTCAGAAGGGCTAAGCGGCTCGAGTGGGCGAGTCGGAGGGTCTTAGCAGTGATATCGGGGGTTCGAATCCTATACCGCCCCCTTTATTTCGAAAAATTCCATGTAAAAATGTGAATGTTACCAGCGGTCTCCTTGGTAGGAGGGAAGGGCCAAATCTGATAGGAGGTAAAGAGGAGGCCCCATTCTGAACAGAAGATCTGGAATACAAATGGGAAGCGAGCATAATGCGTAGTCAAATCATGGAAGATTAGTAGAAATGCCATTAGGGTGTAGGTGACCCTTCCCTTCTAGTATATTACCCACAATTATATATAAATAAATTGGTATACGTATAATAATAATGTATAAGTAATTATATATAGGGCCCCTATCCCGAGTGCATGTAACCATGTGCGAGTATGTATGTATGTATCACCTATTTCATTTACTCTTTTTAAATATTGAAGAAAAAATATATCATTAAATAGTTAATTAGAAGGAAAAAATGAAGAAAAAATATGAAATAATAAGATTAATTAATTAATAATAAAAGCAAAATTTGAAAATAAAATGATGAGCTAAATTAACAAAGAAAGAACAAAAAAAAAGCAAGCACAATAAAAAGAAAAAGAAAAAGAAAAAGAAAAAAGAGCTTTATTGTTTTAAATTAGTTTTTATAATTAAAAATATCACAATCCAAATCAAATAAACTGTTTTTACTAAAGGTCAAGTGTCAAATTTGAGAGATTAATGCAATTTGCTAAAGCAGAACCTAAGTCTGATGCACCTTCATCACCAATTTAATCAGATGTAAACTCATCGAAGACCCTATTACAATAAAGATAATTCACCATCAATCCTTTTTTTCTATAAAAATTTACAAATATTGAGTTTTATATACCAGCTTTATCATTTTATAAAATAAAAATTTTAAATATTTTTTATGGAATTTTTTCTATCCTAGATTTTCAAAATTTCTTTTTTTTCAAAAAAAATGATATTTTATGCTTACTAAAAATTAGCTTTATTCATAATGTTATTTAGATATAAATTAAATAGGTATTTCACTATTGTTAATCATGAGGAAAAAATGAAGAAAATATATGAAATAATAAGATTAATTAATAATAAATAAAATTAACAAAAAAAAAAAAAATAAGAAATCATAATAAAAAGAAAAAGGAAAACAATTCAAATAAATTAAAAGAACTTTAATGTTTTAAATTAACTTTTATAATTAAAAATATTATAATGTAAAACAAATAAATAGCTTTTATTAAGTGTAAGTTTTAATAGCAAAAATGAAGAAAAAATTTCAAATAATAAAAAATGAATAATCAATAAATAATTAAAAATTGAAATGAAAATTAAGTTAAAATTGTTAAAAAATTTAAGTTTTAATAAAAATCAATAAATAATGATGATAATTTCTTTTATATAAATTATTTATTTAAATATATTTAAAATAAAATAAACAAAAAATATTAATAATAATAAAAATAATATTTTTTAATTAAATATACCTCAGATTAATATGGAGAACCTAATGAGATAAAAGTGAAGAGCTTAAAAACTTTTTTTATTAATTTATATAAATTAAAAGGTTGTTAATAAAAAAATTAATAATTACTTCTTCTAATTTATTATATTTTTTAATCTATTATATCATTTATTTTTTTTTTCAAAAATATTGAATAGCAGTTTATGAAATTTAATTAATTAATTAATTATTAATGGATATAAAGAACAAATAAATATAATAATTAATTAATTAATTATCAAATATTAATTTATATATTTGGTTTTATGAAGAGATATCACATTCACTATTTAAACTTAATATTTTTATTTAAAACATATACTTAAAAATATATATAGTAGGAATTAAAGACAACCAGTTATTTATTTAGTAATATTTGAAAAAAACCTGGTAGTTAATATTCTTAAGTATTATAAAAATAATGTTTATAAGTAGATTTTTCTGTTTTAGCTATGTAATTTTAGGATTATTTATAATATTTCTAATTATAGCATTATGCCATACAAACAAAAATTTCATGGTTTGCCTGACACTTATTATGAAATATATTTTTTATTTATTTATTTATTAAAATATCTAAATTATA